TATAGGTTTATTAAAGTTATCAATTATATCAATTTTCATTTCTGAAATAGAGTTTGTTTTTAAAGGAAAATATTTTTTAGATAAGGGTTGTTCATTAATAACTGAATTTTTAGAAACAATAATAGGTATAAATGAATACATTACAGTTGTTTTCTTAGCATTGCCATTATTAGATACAATTTTTCCATCTACAAGATTATTTAATATGTATACTTTTTTGTTTTTAGTTGAATCACTATAGAGAATAGTTTGAAATCTATCAAGTGCCATTTCATACTCTTTATTTTCATCAAGTTTAATAATATCATCAAATTTAATTGTAGTTGGATTTTGTCTATTTTTTTCTATCTCAATATACATTTTTATATTTATAATAATTATTTAGATCGCTTTAGCGATCCCTGGGTCTCAAAGAGACCTAGATTGCTTTGCGATCTCATTTTATATATTATTTGCTAATATATAAAATTAATATTTACTCTTCATCTTCGCTTTCTAAGTCTACATCTTTAATATAAAATCTTTCTATCTTATACTCATTTTTAGATACAACTGCATCTAATAATTTTACTTGAATAGATTGAATCATTGATCCTATATATATACCTTCAATTGCTAAGCATCCAACAACATCACATCTTTTTTTCTCCTAAAATATCACCATTTTTATTTCTAAATACTTGATCCATCTTTTTACTTTTATAATCTGTTGGTATTTTTGCATATATAACTGGAGGTGTCTTAAAATCATCATTTCTATACTTTAAAATGTTCAAGTTGTTAATATTTAAGCTTTTCATACCCCCTTTTTTTAACGTTGCTTCATTTTCAATAACTTTATTTCCACAAAATTTTTCAATAGCTTCAATAATTGCGATAAATATATCATTTTCACATACAAAAGGAATTGAGTATCCTGTAAGTTCTTTTGTTTACATGTCTCTATTTTCACAAACTCCATATGATAACGATTTTGGAGTTTTTACTCTTAAAGGTTCTGAAAAGTTAGAGTATTTGTATTCAATTACTATTTTTTGATATTGAACAGGTTTATTAAATTTTTTTATTTCTTTTACATATAAATTTGCAACATCAAAATTTTCAATATCTACATATGACATTCTTTTTATATATAAAAGAAAATTATTTAACTCATTTTAAAAAATTTATTTTAATTTTCTTGTAAAAATATATAAATTTTATCTTACATCATTTGCTAGAGTTGTAATTTGAAGTTGTTGTTGTTACAGTAGTATTTGTACTAGCATTACCAGAAGTAGCTGTTACACATATATTCACATTTACATTTGAGTTGTTCATTTTTTTATTAGTAAAAAAATTTTAAATCACTATGTGATCAATGCTTCGCTAGGTTCTAAAAGAACCCTGGGTCTCAAAGAGACCTAAATCGCTTTCAATTCTGTATTATTAACCCATGAGTTAAAAGTATCAGGATACCCATACCAATTTACAAATGATTTATTACCTTGTTTTTTAATAACTTTTTCAATTCTAAATATCTCTTGACTTGTTTTTTGCAGTTCTTGTTCATAAAAAGTACCTTGTATTTCTTCACCATTGTAATCAGTTATTTTATAAGTGGGTGGATCTGTGTATTGAGTTTGTGATACTGTAAATACTTCTTCAGTCCATCTTGGTGTGTATCCTTTTTCAAATAATTCTTTCTTTTTAATTATTCTTACTTTATCACCTATTGTAAACTTAAACTTGTTATGTTCAGATCTTACTTTACTATTTAAATTTAACCAAACTTTATTTTCATTCTTTTTATTGCTTGCTTCAGCTGGAGTCATTTTAATTGAAGAATGCTTTGTGTTGTTGTATTGTTTTACCATTTCATCTAAAACATCAATGTATTTTCTAGTAGAATTAGCAGAAAAGTATTTAAACATTTTTTCTTTCATTGTTCTATTCCATCGTTCAACTACACAGCTTTTTTCTTCATTTTCAGTTGAATAGAGATGAACACCTAATGCTTTAACATGCTTGTTATAAAATTCTAAGCCTTTATCTACCCATAATTTAGCACACTTTCTATCTTTAAATATTTTATTAAATGCATCAGCAACTTCAATACCTGTCTTACTTTTCAATGGGATAATCCATCCATACTTTGAAAATATATCAATAACCATTAAAAAGTATTTTATACCATTATTAAATTTAGAATAAGCTTGCATGTCAACTGAATCAGCAGCCCATATTTCATCTATTCCATTTGCAATTACTTTTCTTTTTCTAAAATGTTTTATAACTGGTTTATGAAGTTCATTTGCAAGTTCATCAGTCCATTTCAGGTTTTTGCTTTTTTTCTTCTGCGCTGGTAGTTTTTTTGACATAATTCTTTAATACTCATTGGCTCTTTATTTCCCATACCAAACCTTACTTTAGCAGATATGATAGGTTTTATAATCTTTCTTTCCAATTTTTCACGTGGTGTAGGATTAGGTATAGCATCCATTTGTTCAAGCATCATTTTATCAGCTAAATTTCTATGCTCTTTGTCTGGATAATGTTTATAAGCAAGATCATGAATATAAGCTGTTTTATCAACTCGATCTACAGGCATACTCCATTCTTTTGGCATTTCAGTTGATGTTAATCTTTCATCTAAATTAGTACCAGGTCCTGCAAAGTTCATACCTGGTATATGCATTTCACCTGGAAACTTTTGCAAAGGTAATTTTCTGTTACTTGTGAATTTATTAATTGATTCTATTAAGTCACCTCCTTTTTTTCCTTTTGTAAATTGACATTTTCTTGTTCCACAGATTGCACAATTTCCACATATCATATTTCTATTGTTTTTACTCACAGCATGTTGTAAGTTGAGTGTATCTGTTTTGTTTTTACATTTAACGCAGTACATTTTTTATATATGTATTTTAATTTATTTAACACAAATCTATTTAAAAAATACTTTTCATAAATAAAAAAATGGAAATTATAGATTTATCATGGAATGTAAATAAAAGTAAACGTCATAATAATGAGTTATTACCTAAAAGTATAAGAGGGATTATTGTTGGAAAATCAGGTTGTGGAAAAACAACATTATTATTAAACTTGCTTTTAAGACCTGGTTGGCTAGACTATAATCATTTACAAGTTTTTTGGAAAGTCGCTTTTTCAACCTGAATACAAAATATTAAAAAATTCTTTTGAAAATAAATTACCAAAAGAAGTTATTCTTGAACTATTTAAGTTGCAAGATCAAATAAATAAAAACAATGTAAATCCAGAGTTTATTATTAAAAACATTTCAAGAGATTTAAAAGATAAAACAGATATAGAGTGTCAATTTTTTGAAACAGCAGAGGATGTACCAGAACCTGAAAATCTTAACTGTATTAAAAATAATTTAATGATATTTGATGATTTACAATTAACAAAGCAAAACAAGTGTGAAAAGTACTATATAGGAGAAACAATCTACATAGCAATGTAGATTGTTTCTACTTGGCACAAAATTATTTTGAGTTGCCTAAGAGAACAATAAGAGAAAATGCAAATTTTATATGCTTGTTTCTACAAGATGGAAAAAATATAAACCATATTTATAATGAACATGTTTCAAATGATATGCCAAAAGATGAGTTTAAAAAGTTTTGTAATGAAGCTTGGTCAAAAAAGCATGGATTTGCTGTTATAGATTTGTCTACTACTGATTTATTAAATGGAAAATATAGAAGTGGATTAGATTTATTTTATTATCCAACTTCGTTGTGGAAACAATAGATATATATTTAAAAAAAAATATATATTTTTTATGAAGACCTAGCGAAGCATTGGTTCCGAAGGAACCTAGTTCCTACAGGTAGATGCACCCCAAAAACCAAGGCACCTCAAAAACAACGCGGTCAGTTAAAAGGCTCTAAAAATTTAAATATGCATTTTAAAACCATATGAGAAATTTTTTTTCATAAAGGAATGTTTCAGCAACAATTAAAACAAAAGAAATCAATATTAACAATAAAGGAGTTTTTTTTACAACCGTTTTAAACTTAAAAAGTGCTGAGAAAAATAATTGAGTTTTAAGTAATATTGCTATAAAATATTGGTTTTTTAGACTAAGTTTGCAAATCCCATCTAGTTTGCTTATCTTTTATATGCTATTTACATAAATCAAACCATTTTTATTATAAGTAGAAGGGAAACTTGTAAAAAAAAGTTTAAAAATTACATTTTAACATGTGGTTTTTGGGGTGCGCTAAGAAAAAGTTAAAAAAAAAAAGTTTATCCAGAATAAGTCTTTACAACAAATTTAAAACAAATAGTTCATTCAATAAAAAAGATTTTGAATATCACAGTTATTTCTTTCTAGCAGCTGCAGATAAAATCATTTCTGGGTTTTTTCCATTTACTTTGCAGTTTGCTTTGCTGCAAATGGACCGGATTATATTGAGGCAGGTTGGACACTGCTTTAAGCCAAAAGCTTTACATTTTCTCTCCTCGCAATAGCAGCTTACATGTTATAAAGAGTCTTGTAACTTCCTTTTTCTTTTTTGCAGCATTTTCTTTTTTTTCCTTTTCTTTTTATTTTTTTCTTTTTATGCTTTCAACTAGAGTTATTACATCGCTTGCAGTCATTGATCCATGTACTTGGGTAACACGTGTTGCATCTTTTGTTAATTTTGGCTTTATCTTTTTGGTTGTCATAAAACCAGGTATTTCTTCCAGCTGAATGCTCTTTTCATGAAATTCATCAATCAACTCCATCGCTTGTTCAAATTTTGATTTCCAATAATTTGCTGAACCACGTCTTTTATCCGGCGAAGAAATTAGTGGAGAAGTCTGTTTTTCTGGTTCAATACAGTTTTCTGCTCGTTCGAATTTGTCTTTTTGCATAAAATCAACACTCAATGCATTTTCGGCAACACCAACCCTTTTAGCAGATTTTACAAGCGTTTCTTTGGTTGTCCACTTGTCCCATATATTAGCTAAAACTAACATAAAAGCTTCTTTGTTTAAGGTACAGATATCAGAAAACATAGAGTCTTTTTGCTTACGATACTCACTATGAATGTTCTTGTTTACTTGGTCAAGAAGTTGAGTAACTCCTTTTGTGTCTGGTGGAGTAAGAAAGAGATGAATTCTTTTGGACTCCAAAAAAGATAATACATCAAAGTCTAGTCTAGAGCTATGTCCATCTGCTTAACATTTTTTTCATTTAAGTAGACATCAAACTCTTTCAATGCTGCCAAGAAAGATTCATGGGTTGATACTCCATTATCTGTAGTTGTGACCAACAAATGGGGAATTTTATTTACTGCTTCTGTTGGAACCATAGAACTAGTAATACCAGTACATTTAAATATTACCTGACACATACATATGTCGCCTAAAAATAAAAAATGAAAAAGTTTTTTAATGCTTGTATTTATTTATATTCAATTTTTTCTTGAACCATAACATATTATAGCATACCTGAAAATGAAACAAATGGTTGAATTGTGACACATTCTCTGTTTTCTCTATACATTCTTTGACATGCATCTCCTTTGCCAGCATAAAATAATCCAGAAGTGGTACCATCAATTCCATTATTAATAAACTGGGGTGTTTCATCACAATTAAATATTCGGCATGTATCAACAGTGCCATTCCAAACCCCTGTTTCAATCATTTTTTCATTTATCATAATACCAACATCTACTAGTTCTTTAGCAAGGGAATCTGAAATAATGTTATTATAGGGAAATGAACAAATTAAAAAAAAAAAGTACATTCAGATTTATGAATTTATATTTGTTCATTAATAACTTACCTAAATGATTACATGCCATTTCTCTTGAACAATTAAGTGCACGGTTTATCGAGACACTCCCTTGGCGTTTGATTGTAAGGCTGCTATGTTTAGCATTAAAACGAAGCCAAAATGATCGACTCAATCTATAAAATGGAATATTTACATAAAGAAAAGAATCATATTACCCGTCTTACATACTTTTATAGGATCATTGTAGATTAAATGAATTCAATTAAACTTACTTTCCCTTTTCTAGAGCAGCTCGAGCATTTAATGATAACTTTTGAAACTTCCGTCCACCTTTCATTTTTGTATTAGTGTAATCTCTCACACGAAGCACATTAATAATTAATTTGGTTATGTCCTGTTTGTTAATTGCCTGTAAACATCTGTTCTTATTTTTTATAAAACGCACAATAGATGCTTCTTCATCATCTGTAAGTATAGTACAATAATCTCTTTCTTTTCCATTAATCACTTTTCCATCTAATCGCCTGTTGATTGTCTCTCTATCTTTAATAAGGGGAAACAATCCTGTCTTTAATGCTGCTTGTCCCCTTCCATTAAATTTTTTGCACCAATTTATTGCAGCTTCTAACTGTTTATTTTTATCATTTATGTGTTTTTTGGCCACTATGGCATCAGCTTTAGTACTGAGATTTCTTGATTTGTTTATACGTAGATGTAATGCAGATGATGGTTTCATTTTACTTTATAATATTATATTAAACAAAATTCTAAAACAACAAAAAACATAACATAGTTCAATGGTAGTATTTCCACAAAACATTAACTTTTGTTTTTTATTTTTTTATGATGACAAAGAGCTACTATCTTAGAGTACATCCTAAAATTTTTTTATTGAATTATTTTATATATTTTCTAAAATATTCAAATAACCAACGTGGTTTTTGGGGTGCACATGATGTGGTTTTTGTGGTACATTGAAGTACATCCTAAAAATTTAAGTTAGCAATGATACTATCATCCTAAGACTAATTTATTATAACTATCTTCTACAAAAAATCAGGTCTTAATTCCAAATAGTTTAGATTTTATAGCCACATTTGTCAATGTTGTTTTTGGGGTGCATGAAAAAAAGTGTGGTTAACTTCAACATTCTAGAAAAAGAACTCAAGCGAGACTTAAAAAACCATACCTACCAGGAAGAACCCTATTTAGGCTTATCTTTCAGAACCCATATTAACAAAATTATGATCTGTCCCTAGAAAATAAATCTAGACCCTCCTACTTTCGCGTGGCTTTTGGGGTGCAACCACCTGTATGGTTCTTTCAGAATTTAAAGAAGAAGACTTAAAGAAGAAGACCTAATAATGGTATATTCTTAAATGGAGAATTTTCTCCTAATAACAATCCTCTACCTACTGATGAATATTCATTTCCATTTTTAGAATAATATCCATCTAAATAATTATAACTACCATTCCATGGGTTTAAAAATACTCCTTTTCCTACTTTTCTAATTTTAAATCCACTACCATTCTTTTTCACATAAATAATACCATTTCCAGCAATTTTATTAACTATAGTACTTCCAGCAGCTGCAGCTGTTCCAGTCAATAATCCTGTTGCTATAGCCGGAACAACTTTTGATGCAATTACACTTCCAATTAATCCTAGTAGAGGTAGAAATCCACCATTTACTTTAGTATTATGTTTAAGTTGTGCTCTACTCAGTGAAAGTGTTATACCCTTATTTTTTAAATAAGCTGCTTTCATTCTGTTTCTTTGTGAATCTGTTAAAGATATTTTATGTTCACCATTTAGATCTTGATGTGTTAGTTTTATGCTAGCATTATTATCAGATTCAATTGCTTTTTTAATTTTCTCTTTCTGACTATCTGAAAGATTGATAAGAGTATCATAGTATTTTGTCATTTTTATATATGTAATATTTTTTTTAATTCATTTGCATGAATCTGGATCCCAAAGGGATCTAAATTGCTTTCTGTAATGCTTTATACTCATCATCATCTATTTGACCCTGCCGTAACAGCTCATCACAAATAGCAACAACCTCATTTCTAGCTCCAGTATTGCCTGCTTGTAAAGCAGCTAAGCGTAATTCAAGCATCTCAAATAGTGCATTTGGATCACTAGGAAGAATGACAACTCCTTTTCCAGACTTTCCAATCATCTCTTCCCAAATAGGTTTTATTACATTAGTGTACTTATAACTTCTAGATGATCTCGGTTTAGCTGAATTTAAATCAGAGCGAATTGCATCTGTTTAATCTAAAATTTCCTTATGCTTATTACGATCATCGTTAGTATATCTAACAGGATGAGATTTTACTATGATCTCCCAAAGACCTGGTGTTCCAATGTATTTTTTACCTTCAATAGTTATATCATTACCTTCAATAGTTATTGGTTTTTTACCAATGTAAAATTTTTCATTACCTTCATTGTAATGTATACCAAATATGTCATCTGATACTTTTTTACTATTTTTAGTAGTATATAACTTTAAATATTCTGTTGCGATAGGTCCTAACGACATTTTATCTACAACTTCAGGTGGCATGATTGCTTTAGTTTCAGAATCTAGTAAAGCAGGATAATTTGAAAAAGTATTAGCTATTTGATCAGCTTTATTTTCTAATTTAGATATACCTTCTTTTATTCCAGATTGACTATCTATTAATGGTTTGTACAATTTTTCCAAGTTAGTCTGTAAAGTATCATAACCTAACTTTTCATTAATAGAATCTTGATATACACTTTTCTTTACGCTAGCAAGTTCTTTTGCCATTTTTAATCTTGTATCAATATCTGTAGCTTTTGCATACATTTTTATATAAGCAATAATTTTTTTAAATCACTCTGTGATCCTCAGATCCCTTAAGGGATTAAATCAACATATATTATGTTCAAGTAATACATAATATATGTTCAAGTAATTCATAATATATGTTTTAATTTTTAAGAGTATTATTTATCACTCCTATACTTTGATTCTTATTAAATTTCATATTTAGCGCTTCTATAATATCATTTGTTCCTTTTTCTACTCCTTTATTAAATATTGACTCTTTAGTCTGCTCATCTATATCTTTCTTAGATTTTGTTCTATTTTGTTCAGTCATAGCTTGAAGTTTTTCAAGTTCTGAAAGTATCATATTAAATTCTACATCATCAATATATTGATCTGATATAGCTTTAGAAATAAGACTACTTATTGTATTTAGTTTTGCATTAGCTAGTACTTTAGTCTTTTCATGCTTTTCTGCTTTTATTGTTAATTTTTTAATAGCTTGTGATCCTATTAATGATAATACACCCATACCTAATGCTGCAATTTCACATCCATAATAATAGCTACTGGTGATCCAACTATCGTTGTTAAAAAGCCAATACCAACAGCTCCAAGTGTCATTGTGCTAGCTAGTAATGAATTATCAATAGCTGAAACTATTCTTAAAGCTTTGTGATATTTCTTACTTAAGATCTCTCTTCTAATTCTTTCACATTCTATCTTATTTTGAATTTCATTTATTTTAACTAATCTAAAATTCTGATCAGATAGTGGTGGTGCAGATGGATTTTCTGAAAACTGGTTAAGATCTGGATAAAGCTGTTTACATTCATTATTACATTGCATTTCTTTTTTCTATAAAGAAAAATTTGTTTTAAATCACTTTTATTTACCAAAATCAAATAGAGCTTTGTCAGATTTATCTATACTAGGTTCATCTTCATCACATATAGTTTCTTTAATTATTCCCCCTATACTTGATAATATAGATTTTACAGATTTTTTATCACTTTGTGATTTAGTTCCTGAGTCCCTTTGTGATCTAACTTGTTCTACTTTTTTATCAAGTTCTGATATATATTTTGCATTAAAAACACCATTATAAGTTGATATACAGCATAACAAATCCCCTTTTTTAATATTTATATCTTTTTTATCGTTATTATATAAAGTTATTTTAATATCATCAGTAGACTCTATTACAACAGAATTTAGTAAATTTAGAGTAGGTTTATAATTTTCTGCAAGTGAAATCAATACATGTCCTTTATCTATTTTAACTCCACACATTAAAGAAATGCTATTAAATGAATTTGATTTTACTGTAAAATCTTCTTGTGCAAATACTTTAATATGTCTATCATTTATTGATCTATGCTCTATATCTGAATTAATATTAAAAGTTATTGTATATTTTTCATGCTTTTCATAATCTAAAAACTATTATACATTTTTTTATAAATGTAAAGATTTTTTAAATCACTATGTGATCCCTAGATCACAAAAAGACCTAAGTCATAAATATTAAATCTAATATTTTTTTCATTTTTTTAAAGTTCTAGCAATATAATTTAAAATGCTTTCACCTTTATGTAAAAAATTACACTTTTTATTATCATTAATATTTTTATATAATAATATTTTTTCTCCTTTTTTATTTTTCTTTAATTTACTCTCTACTAATTTACATGGAGTATAATGACAAATTTCTACATTTTCTTCAATTTCTTTTATAGAATGAGCATATTTGCAATTTATATTTTTACATTCTTTTTTATCAAGAATATATTTGCATAATTTAGTTTTAGCTTTTCTTAATTTTAATAATTCTGACTTTTTAGGATGAAATAATACACATTCTTTATTCTTACATTTAGGATATTCATAGCAAATTCGAATATGCCTATATTGACATGAAGATTTAGTGCATATTAGTCTTTCCTTTACAGTATTACAATAAGGAATATCATGATTGTATTTACATTTATATCCAAAAGGACAGAAATTATCATTTAAAATATTTTTACAGAAAGTTGGTAGTTTCTCTACAAAATGAATTGTTGAAGGTTTTCCATCTTCAGTAAAATTAATATCAACATTAAATGGTTTTTCAAAACTAAATTTTTTGTTTTTGTTATGTTTTTTTGTTAAAAAACTATCTATAGCAGGATATTCATCATAAATAATATTGCTGTAAGTTGGAACATAATTAATCCATTTCAGTTTATCTTTATACAATTCCATAATTTGTACTGTTTTTGAAGGAATTGTAGCCTTTTCTTGAATTTCTATTGTTTCATCATCTTCATCAGATGTAAAATAAGTAGCTTCATCAGATGTATAATAAGTGTCATCTTCAGAATCTGATTCTTCAAATTCAAATTTTCTCATTTCTTCAAAAAGTTTAAATTCTTTTTGAAATTCAGATATTTCATTAATCTCATCATAATTCATTTTTATTTTTATTATTTGATAAAACATTTTAAATCAAAAAATTAAAAATAAGTTAAATAATTTTCTTATGTATATAAAAGAATGGAAAAGAAACTTGAAGACTTATGCTTAAACTTTAAATTAATAGATGAAAGATTAAGGTTAATAGAAGAAAAATTAAATATTATTAATACTCATGATATTGAAATGACTGAAGATGAAGAAGTTACTGAAATTACAGAAATTATAGAAACTACTGAAATTACAGAAACTACTGAATATGTTGATGATGAAGATAATGAAGATAATGAAGATGATGAAGATGATGAAGAAGTTACTACAGTTACTACAGTAACTACTGAAATTACAGAAACTACTGAATATGTCAATGAAGATGATGAAAGTACACATAATTAAATATTTTTAATTATTTTATTTTGTAAAAATAAAAAAAATTGAAAATGAGTTAAATAATTTTTCTTTTTATATAAAAAGAATGGATTTAGAAAATAATTTTGAGAATAATAATTTTTTAATAAAACCTTCAACTCAGGTATATTATATTACTGCAATATTAAAAAAGTATAAATATGAAAATTGGTATAAAAAAGTTGACTTTGCTGCTAAAATAGGGAGAATTGATCTAATTAAATTATTAACTCAATTAAATGAAAAAAGAACAGAAAAAGCAGTTGATTTTGCTGCAGAAAATGGACATCTTGAAGTACTTAAATATTTACATTCAATAGGATATAAAGGTACATATCGTGCAATTGATTATGCTGCAAGAAAAAGACATCTTGAAGTAATTGAATATTTACATTCAATAGGATATAAAGGTACAGATCGTGCAATTGATTATGCTGTTCAAAATGGTCACCTTGAAGTACTAAAATATTTACATTCAATAGGATATAAAGGTGCAGAAGATGCAATTAATAATGCTGTAGGAAGAGGACATCTTGAAGTACTTAAATATTTACATTCAATAGGATATAAAGGTACATATTGGGCAATTGATTATGCTGCAATGAATGGTTATCTTGAAGTAATTAAATATTTACATTCAATAGGATATAAAGGTACAGAAGATGCAATTAATAATGCTGTAGGAAGAGGACATCTTGAAGTACTTAAATATTTACATTCAATAGGATATAAAGGTACAGATCGTGCAATTGATTATGCTGTTCAAAATGGTCACCTTGAAGTACTAAAATATTTACATTCAATAGGATATAAAGGTGCAGATTGGGCAATTGATTATACTGCAGAAAAAGGTCACCTTGAAGTAATTAAATATTTACATTCTATAGGATATATAGGAACAGTTTGTGCAATTAATTATGCTGCAGGAAGAGGACATCTTGAAGTACTTAAATATTTACATTCAATAGGATATAAAGGTGCAGATTGGGCAATTGATTATGCTGTTCAAAATGGTCACCTTGAAGTACTTGAATATTTACATTCAATAGGATAAAAAGGTACAGAAACAGCAAGAAAAGTCATGTGACGTCACAGCAAGAAATGAAATTAACTCTGATTTTAAAAAATTGATTTTTTAAAATTTTAAAAAATTTGAAAAATTATTTCTTAGTTGTAATAATTATTTCTTAGTTGTAGTAATCACATCATGGTTAGAAATGAACCCTATATTTTTTAAAATATATGGTTGAAAATATGGTTAAAAATGAAAATGAGCTAGAACCGGCATTCTCTAACTACTCTTATATGTCCTTTGCACACATTTTCCATATATATCAACTCCTAAACATCCTTCACATGTCAACTTAAACATTTAAGCAAATCTTCGTTTGCTCAACCTACACAAACACAACAAAAGTCTTTATCAGTGTTATTTTTTAGAATAAAACCACTAGATGAACTTGAGTGAAGAGAATCAGCTGAAAAAGAAGTCTTCGTTATTTTTGTTTTATCTTTATTTTTTGCTTTGATTTATCTTTTTTTATTTTGACTTCTGTTTAACACTGACCACATTTTTTATTAGAGACTTTTTAGCAGAAGACTCTTTTACAAGCTTAACATCATCTGGTAATATAGTAAAAGCAATATAGCGTTTTAAGTGAGTAGGTTTGCTTTTTTTCCGGAGAAAAAACAATAATCCTTTAAACAGATAAATTTGGTCTCGCAGATGAATTTTTGTCTTTCACAGTCTTTCACTGTATTTCTTAGGTAATGCAAACCGCACTAGTAAAGCGCATTAACAACCAATCTTCTTTTTGTAAGTATGTTGGACAATATTTTGTCAACAATAACGTGAAAGTTGCAATATTTGTTAAAAATAATGGGAAAGTTTCAACGAGGCATAGAAACATTATCATTTTCAGCTAAGCAATTAGACAAGGCCTATGACCACATATGTTTAACTACTTTATTAACATGTGTCAAGTAGTTAAAGGCGATGTGTACTATAAGGTGGAATGCATATTATTTCATTATCCATCTCTATTGCAATTAAATTGCTTCAAAAATTAATCAACTAAAAAAAACAATCTTTTTTTCCCACTTTTTAAAATGATGTAAAAAACATCAATAAACATCTCTTAATCAATATATCTGCTTTTACTCAATGTACTTTTGTACCCAAAGAAAATTTAGATGCATCTGGAATATTTGTTCCTTTAAATATGAAAAAATGGTGGTCAACTGTCCCCTGCTGCATTGACAGTGGCCAGGTATGTTGTTAGAGTGCCACGTTTATCAATAGTTAACTTTTGTACCTCACGAGAGCCTTTTACACAAAACCAATTGGTACAGATAAAAGGCTGCTTTCATCACAATTACAAGTCAAATTTTACATACTTATATTTACTATATATACATTTTAGGCTAAACATTATAACATGTGTCTTTACATGTGTTTACATTAGAGCGGTATTCATAATTAAAACTTTAAAAAGTTTTAAAAACTAACTGTAAACTAATATATTCTGAAAAGCCTCTTATAGATAAAGTCTGAAGCTTTGAAGGACATTTTTAGCACAATTTTATTTTCTTTCAAAGGGGCTCCATAGTTTAAAAGTTTGCGTGATTAAAGAATCTAATTTATCTTAAGTATCATCTTTTCTTTAACAACAAAGTTGCCCCTCATTTGGGCATGTGATAACAATCATTACGTAAAGATTCTAAAAGAAAAAATATAGCAACTTAAATTGTTATTTTAAAAATATTGACATCGATATTTCGAAAAAAATATACTTTATGGTCAAAACATCGCGTATTTTGATTATTTTTTTGATGATAAGCATTTCAGCAGAAAAATATTTTTTCAACTTCGATGTTCACTTGCAATATTTATAAAATAATCAAAGCAAAATATCTAAAACACTTATTTAATATTATTCTACAAATATCAGTTGAAAAAGTTTCAAAAATACCTAGTAAATAGATTTCTTAGTTTTTATGCATTATTATTTTAAAGCTCAGTCGCATAAGTGACGAATTCGCTCCGTGACGAATTCACCCCGCCTTACCCTACTTGACATAACATCTACTAGCAATTTTTTGTGATTTTGAAGACTCTAAACAATAGTTATGTAAAGTTGAAGATAGTAATAATAATAAACTTCTCACCTAAGTTTAGTTATAATTAATGCTTCTATATATATACCATAGTTATTTTTTAAAGTTATTAGAATGGGATTCATCAAACTTTAAATACTTTAACATCTAACTATAAAAGTTAAATATGAGATTCACTTAACTTTTATATATTTATTTATTTTTTTTTCCTCTCCAGGTATACCATATAAAATATACATTTATTACCGTGATAAAAAGAAAAAATATATATAAAATTATTACGTATCAGATTGATAAAAATACATTAATATAACTTTGACACATTAATATAGTATTGATGCAAACTTAATATAAATTCTGGTATAACAACTATTATAAATATGTTTATTTTTTTCTATAATTTAATACCTAAAAAAATGTCTAGCTTTATACCCAAGTAGTTTACAAATTTTTTGCACCCAAGTTTTTCCCATTTAACTTAATTTTGAGCTGCTGGTCTAATTTTTTGTGATGACTTTTAAATATTATTAAATCAGTTTTTATTGAGTTTTTTTATTTATTTGTTTGTAATTCAACAAAAATTTGCGTATAGTTTGACATTAATAGTTTTGAATCAGTTTTAAGAATAGATATAATTTTGGATAGTTTTTAAGTTTTCTAAGAAAATACAACTTGACAAAAAGATATTTCAAATGTTAAAAAAAATTCTTGAAAGTTTTTAATAATTTACAAATTTTAAACGATTGTTAAACATATTTATTTTAATGACATTAAGTTTAGAGTAGTTAGTTTAGCAGCAAACTTAAATTTGTTTAAAAAAAGTTTGTTTAATAAATTTTATTGTTATTATTCTTTGAAGTCTTTATATGTATACTAATTTATTTATAAATACACTTGTTTATTTATATTTAGAAAATTGACAACAAATGCAAGCATTAGGAGAAACGTATTTATTTATTTATTTTTCAATTTTCAGCTTTTGCTGAGAATTGAAAAAAATTATCAAAAGTTATATTTGTTAAATTGAAGTTATATTGCAGTATATTATCAAAAGCTTTCGAATTGAGTATCTAACTCACTTGCTGTTAAAGCAGCTACAGTTTGTCTAACACTATGATTATTATATATTTTCAAATGTAAGCATCAGTTTTTTCAGCAATTTTTTAGTATTTTGCTATTATTGATTATATATATATATATATATCTTATACTGCTGAGTTAGGTGAGCATGATGACTTCATACTGAAATAGTCTGCTGCGGGCGCTTCAGTACATACATCGACTTGCTTGCCTTGTTGGGAGTGAATCAGAACTAAAAAAATTTGTAGAATACATTTAAAATTAATTATATATATATATATATATATATATATATATATATATATATATATATATATATATATATATATATATATATATATATATATATATATATATATATATATATATATATATATATCAGGTCACAGCTGGTCTAAGATCCTCTTAAGTCCTCTTTTTTTAAAAATCTCCCCTAAAATCCCCTATTATCCTCTAAAAAATGGAATATTTGATTAAATCTTTTTTTAAACTTTTTTTTTTAATTTTTTTATTTCTTGATGGAATGTTCTATGTTACAAATTCCTAATCTGCAAAACTGGTTAATGTCGTAAAGGGCATTGGGTTGTAAAAAATCAATTTTAGGAAATCGATGTCATCATTGTTGTAGATAGTTTTATATATTGTTATATATTTCATGTTTTATAAAACACCCAAAAATTGTGACATGTTGTCATCTATTCCAAATGTTTTAAAAAATTACCTTTAAGTATGAGTGTTTGTGAAACTACTGGCAACCTGCTTGTATGGCAAAATATAAAAGTCTCATTAACCAAAGTTTCAGGTAAACATCCTATAAGGTTATTTTTTATTGATAGATTTAAAAAAATAGATTATTTTTGAATGTATTTTAGCCTATGCTGATGTAGTTTTGAAGTTGTGCAAGGGGGCAAGGAATTTAGACGTTAAAGTACTTACACACAAACTAATCTCAATATACTACAAGAATTAATAACAAAAATAACTTTCAGAAGATTACCAATACTTTCTTCCTGCCATCTTCAAAATGTTCGAAAAATTAATTTACTGTAGATGAGTGAAATAAAAACGTTATTTAAAGAATTTTTACTACATTTATAAAGTGTTACTTTATAAGGCATAAAATTGGCAGTAATTTTTGTTTGACAATTGCTGTTTTTACAATTTTTTTAAACTCAATCACTTTTGATTCAATTCAATTTATTAAAAAGTAAAAAACAGTTTTAGACTTCAACGGTTGAAATTATTTTTTAAACTTTGTTGACATTGCTCTAGCATAAAATAAATATAAAAGCGAGCTTGACGTCACAGTTATTTTTGTGTTTATCAAAAAAAAAAAAGTATTTCCGCAAAATAAGTTTAAAAATGCGCTAACTTTAAAATAATAGTTTTTTTTTCCTATAAGCGCTTTCATCTTCAAAAAAAAAAAAAGTATAAAAAACCTATCTTTTTTTTTTTAAAATAAATATTTACATTAAACGGAATAAAAATATTATTGTTTAAATATTGCTAACGATTTGGGATCACTTTTTCTGTTTTTTGTGGCTTTTGCAGAAAATCTGTCTTGGGTCAACTAAAATTTCATAACATAGCTACATGCCTCATGGTTGAAATTTGGAATATTTATAAACAAATGTCTATTCTATCTAATTTTTGGTGCGGATTGCTTATTTTTTGTTTTTTAACTCTTTTTTAATGCATTTATATTTTTTATTTTTTTATTAAATAATGAAAATCGTATTATTTTTGTAATCCGCACCAAATTATTGAAATTTCAACCCTTTCTGCATATAAAAATCAAAAAATGTTTGCTGTACCATTAGCTATGTTATGAAATATGTTTTCAAACTTGGCTAGTTT